AGTATAAAACATGCTACCTGCATCTCGTGAACCAAATGTTATTGCACTTTTGTTCATATAGCAGTACTTTTAAAATAAAAGTGCGCAATACACTACTTTTGAATTCATTATTGAACTTTGCCATAACAATGCGATTAATCGCAAAAAATCCATGCGATTAAATATTTTAATCGTTGCCCAGCACTAGTAATTACATCACACAAAACATTCATTTTTGCTTTTTAGTAAGAAGCAGGAATTGTTGTTATGTTCTCTATGGTGCTTAAACCAAAGAATCTCAGAGTAAGACAATGATTCACTATTACAGTTAAAACATTTGACCATTCTGACCTCGACAACAAAAAACAATCTCCACTCAGCGTGCCCTTTCTTATATCACCTTCATCTGCTGATGAAGACGATGTGATGTGATCGAGAGCTTCAGAACAAGCAGATAAGTGGACCTTGAGTGGATATCAACGTCAACTGTCGTTTCCAAGCTGGAGAACGAGCTTTCAACCATCACGGACAATAAATCCTAAACATATACATAACAACCAGTTTGATCATCTACAATTCCATGAGAACCGGGCAATGCCGTCTGCTGCTGAGGAGCGTGTGATACGGACTAAAGTCCTCCCAGAATCAGCAAACGGACTTTGAGCATGAACAGTTTAGTGAGTTGTTATTTTGTAACGGTGGGTCGTACGAGAGAGGCCGGTGTGAAAACTAATTCTGGATCCAATTTCTATGTCGGATCTTCATTTTCTGTCCCATGTTTATGATTTAAGGTCAGGTGGAAAAAAAATGTCCCCCACTTGTTTCACATATGAAAAAAGAAATTTAAGAAATTCAGAAAGATTATCGTGGGAGAAACTTTTCTTCACCTGCTCTAAAGTCAAAAACACTTTGGATTGTGATTGACCTGTGGGACGCCTGTGCTAAACGTCCTCTCTGTCTTCCTCGTTCTCAGCGTACCTTCCCACTGTCCGCTGAGGGCGAGCGTCCTGTTGATGACGATGTCGATCTCCGTGGCACCGTCAGCCACCGCCAAGCGGACTTCCTGCAGCCGGGTCTCCAGTGGTGTCTGGCCTGCTGGGAAACCAGTGGCCACTGGAAGACGAGACACACGCTCACACACAGTTCATGTCGTTCCTGCAGGTGTGACTGAGTTTCAGGTGACTCACCTGAGGCAACGGGAAGGCTGGAGTTGGCTGCTTTCAGTGATTTGACGGCGTCGGCCACACGAGATGGATACACACACACTGCTGCTGTAGTAACTCCTGGCACATGACACACAACACTGGAAGCTCAGCAGAGAAGAACAGACATGGAGATGAACTGGTCTGTGTCGCCCTCTGCAGGCTGAATTCAGGTCTGAACAGACAGTGTGACATGATCAACAAAATCTATGAAAATAAACCGGTGCTATGGTTTTATGTACTGCTCAAACAACTATCCAATCAGTTAGTCAATCAAAAGAAGATATAACTGACCTGTTGTTAAAACAATCGTGTGCTCTTCTCTGTTTTATATATTAGTAAAGTGAATGTCTTGGTGTGAAGTTGGTATTTAAAAAGGTGTCCGTTTTTCTAAAATACTTACAAACAAATGTGAATAAAGTGACGCAGTGCATTAAACGAGTCAAGTCTTTTTTCACTAAAATCAACTTTCCATATTGAATATAATTCTTTGGTTTCATCTACATAAATAAAATGATGCTGTCTTAACGCGTTATATTTTCAGACTTTAAAACATTAAGTTGAGTTATTATAAATGTTTGGATCAAATGAAACAATGCTACGCAGCCACCACTGTCATGCTACAGTAGTGTAATAGTATCATACTAAAATGATATTTCTGTTTTTTACTTTATCCGACAGTAAACTGAATGTGGCCGACTAAGTAGTAACATGTCTTTTTAAATAGGTTAATACTATATTGACTTTTGTATAAACTATAGAGTAAGTGTGTTTTTAATATTGTTTGTTATAATGTCATAAACATTTCATTCTCCCTGTACTTTGCATAATAGTTACAGGAGGAATGCATCTCTGGTTTATGAATTCTTCATGCAGAGGTGTTTGTGAATCTGTGACGCTGTAAGGAAGGATTACACAATCTCCTCGGAGTTAAAGCCGGTTCCTCAGCAGACAGGAGGACTGAGACAGGACCTGGACCATGAAGCATTGACTAAGTCGGTTTGCTCCAGAAGTTATCACTTGCTTACCAAGCCACTTTAACCAAAGGGTTCAATGATTTCTTTCTTTCAATTTCTTAATCATCATACAATCTACTCAAACCTCACGGTGGCCGTGAAAGTAAACAGTATGTTCACAGTCCAGCTGCAGTGACTGAACACTGGGCTGCATGCGGTGAGTCAGGCAGCAGACCTTTGTCGTGCATGTCCACCGCCCGGAGCAGGTCGTGTCGGACCGGCTGGATGGCTTTCAGGCACAGCCGGTGGACGTTGGACGGCGTGTCGTCTCCAGCGAGAGTCGTCAGGTCGATACATGTGACGGCCTTCAGCAGCCAGGCGGCCTGCAGGACAGACACACCAGACACGGTGCCCAACGTCAGAGCCCACCGCTTTCACTTTGTCTCCATCTGCACAGCTCAGTGTCAAACCAACAGTTATACATACCACCCATGATGCTGTTTTGTGATTCAGAATAGAGAAAAATGAAAACATTAACATGTATATTATGTATACTATGTATACACTTGGCAACATGATAAATGGGTATATATGTCATCTTTTAAAGTAGTACATGCTTTCTGGTCATGGTGTCCCAGTAGTGTGACAGTGGGAGCAGGTGTATGAGGAGTTCTACCTGCCACTGTTTCTTGGGGATCTTCTGTCCTTGTATGTGCTGAGCTCTCTTCAGGACGGCCTTTGTGTTCACCCTCACTTTGGATATCCGCTCCAGGTCTGACGCCCATGAGCAAGGAATGAAGGAAGAAGCGGTGCATTAGTTTGCTAAAGTGTGAATTTGGACCATGAAATATGGCAAATTAGTAGAAACTATGCTCCAACTTCAGTGATTGGCATCAAAATGTAGCTAAACACTGATGTTTAATTGGGCATTTAAGTAAGTACTATTCAAAACAAATGATATGCGCACAAAAATTTAAAACCGAGATTTAAAGAATTTTTGGCAGCTGTCATGTTTGATATTTAAAGTTTCCCATCCTGCACCTACCCCAGTGTGTCAACTACAAACAAGGAAGTCTTTGACAGAGAATGTAAAGATATGCAAAGAAAGTGATGTATTTGAAAAAGAGTATCTTTACCCTCCACTAACAGACGTTAACTAAAGTACAATAACATGTCAGCCTGAAGTTAAACCAGTGAAAAGAAGAAGAGAGCTACAGTACAGAGGGTTGAAGGAGTGAGCTGAGCACAAAGAGCTGGGCTGTCATGAGTTCTCACAGGCTGCACTGCGTGACTGTATCACACCCCGTTCTAGTTCACTATACGGTGCCTTCATACACGTTGACGTTACGGTAAAAAGGAAGTTAGCAAGTGAAATTTGTTTCTAGAACTGTCATTTTATGTCAACATGTCGCACGTTACAGTATGTATTTGACACAGTGTTACAGTGTGTCTGTTACATATAGAGTTACAGTGTGTTACAGTGTGTTACACAGTAACATGTTGGTGTTCAGCAGGTCAGCTACCTCCTAAATGTTACTTATTAAACTGAAGTCAAGGCTACGCTGAAGTTAGCTTAGCTAGCCTACTTAACTGTTGTTTTTAATAAAACATATATTTCTATAAAACGGTGAAAGGTGCTATCTATTTTAGAAATTATTAACAAAGCGTAGCGTGTATAAATAATGCTGGTAAAACTAAAAGTTGTGGTAAAGACACAGCAAAACATGTGCAAAAGACGTGACGTTAACGTTTTAACGGGAGCAGAATTTAGCTTTAGCTGTCAGCTTCTACTTACCGAGCTTTGTCCCCGGGTTCCTGGCCGACATGTCAAAGGACAGGATAGTCTTTATTTACGGGCAGATAGTGAAATTAACAGCACGAGCCACTGACCTGTCAACCCTCCACTTCCTGTCTACAAACAGCATGGAGCTATGGGGTTTCGGAAGAGGAATCCCTCCACAATAAAACACAAACAAAAAAACATCTCAAGCTTCCTGTGCAGCTAAATGACTTCCGGGATGTTCTCGTTTCCAAAGAGTACTTATGACCACACATGGCAGACCAATGTGTGTTAACAACTGGTACTTGTCTCACAATAAATGCAGTAAATTCCATGCTACATAGCAGAACAGAGCAGGATCAGCTCAGAGAGGCTCCACACATCTGTGGTCAGTGGGGTAGTGGTGCTTTAGTAGTTGGGTTATTATACTGTGGCTCCAACCTTAATTAACCATCAGTAAAACACTGCCTCCACATTAATGCATCAGTATGCTTGTAATAACCCAATAGTATACGCTGTAATAGTTCTGAATTTAAGTACATGTCGCTGATAATTGCAATGCATTACTTCTACATGTAATGGAGTATGTGTATATTTAAGTGTTGCTACGTTCAAGATCTCAATACTTCCTCTACCCCTTAAGTGTGTTTATATATTTTGTTACACTACATAATGTGAAAGTTGGCACCTCAACAAAAGCGTGAGAGGTGAAAACCCAGAGAATTCTATATGATGCTTGCAATTCATGGACGGCAAGGTATTGGACATTTGTTCCCAGAATCAAAGGCAAAAGCAGCGATTCTTTTGACTTCTTCTTTTACACTGTGGTTGTAAGCCAGTCATTGGCCATGTATCACGTGTAACACCTTCTACCGTGTGGCGCCAGTTAAACGTGATTATTTGGATGCTGAGGTAGATTACATGCTCCAAAACGACATCGCTGTACCTACATCATCTAGTTGGGCTTCTCCATGTATTTTGGTGCCCAAGCAGGATGGAACACCTAGATTCTGCACTGATATGAGAAAAGTGAATTCTGTGATGAAACATGATTAATTTCCTTTGCCACGTATGGATTATTGTATAGATCAGGAAGGGTCTGCAAAGTTGGTTAGTAATTTGATTTGCTTAAAGGGTATTGGCAAGTTCCTTTGTCCAAGCGTGCGCAGGAAATTTCTGCATTTATCACACTGTTGGGTCTTTACTCTTATAAAGTGGTGCCTTTTGGGTTAAAGAACGCCAACGCAACATTTGATGAATCACGTTGTGTCCGGGTTAAAAGGTTGTACTGTTTATCTTGAGGATTTGGTCATCTACAGCGATAATTGGCATCCACGCACCATTTGAACGTTTGGCGGAAGCGCGGCTCACCATTGATTTGGCCAAATGTGACTTTGCAAGTGCTACAGTGACATACCTCGTCGTGTGGTGAGACAGGGTCGTGTAGCCCCAGTTCAGGCCAAGGTCATGGCAATAGCCAGATATCCACAACCCATGACAAAGAAGGAACTACAAAGGTTTTTGGGTTTAGTGGGTTACTACAGGAGTTTTTGTAAAAGCTTCTTTACTATTGTGTTCCCCCTCACTGAACTGCTCAAGGCCAAGGTGAAATTTGCTTGGTCATCCGAATGTTAGAGAGCTTTTGATAAAGTGAAATCTCTGTTGTGCTCTTCTCCCGTGCTAGCTGCTCCTTGTTTGGATCAAACGTTTATGCTCCAAGTAGATGCCAGCCAGGTGGGAGCAGGTGCCATCTTGCTTCAGAGTGACGACCAGGGGTTGGTGAGGCCAATCAAAAAAATGTAACCATTATCAGAGAAATTAGAAGGATTGATTGACAAGGAGGCTTGGGCCCTACAACATTTTAATATGTAGGAACAGGAGGGCAGATTTTGGTGTACACAGATCACAATCCTCTGATTTTTGTGCATTCCATCAGATGCCCAAACCAGAGGCTGACACGGTGGTTGTTGTTCCTTCAGGCTTACAACCTTGACATTAGACAACATTATTGCTGATGCGTTATCACGTGCACCTCTGCATTGATTAATCACCAGTGGTACTTTCAAACTGCATATATTGCCATGTCGTATTGTTTTATTCACCTGTTCTTTTTGTGTCTGTCTTCTTAAAATGCTTCTCAGTTCATGGGGTTGCTGATGATGGGGTGGGGTGCTACAGGAAGGGTATTATTTACGAAGGTCGTATGTTATTTTAGCTATTTTTGAGCTCCTAGGGAATAAAAGCCCTGCTCCAGTGTTGCTCTGGTCTCTCCTGCTCACATGGACTCATCGCAGCCAGTGTCTGCCCGTTTATGCCTTGGTTTGGTCTTCTTTTGTTTCCGCTGACAACACCCCACACACATTCATGTTTACATTACTGACGTTACAGACTGACACACTTCACAATGGTAACCATTTATTTACTTCCTTATAATAAATACATTTAATTTACCATCCTCCATTGTGTCCTTTCCATATTTGTCATAGCTGGGTTATGACAACATAACTGCAAAAAGATGCCACAGCATTTAAATGTAAAGATAATTCAACTTGACGAAAGTCCACAATCAAAACTGGAAAACTTGTAAAATAGCTCAAAATAAGATTGACGTCAGTATTCTTTCTTCACAGCTACATTAGCTGCCTTTAGCTATAGCCTTTAAAAACTACAGACACATGACACTTTGAAGACATCTTTTTATGAAGCAGCTTTGACACGAGGGAATAGATGTTAGTGTTGCAACAAATGATGGTGACTTCATAATGATTCTGCTTCTTCTGCAACGAGGAAATCCTCCGTGACGTCCCCTGAGCTTCCACTAGATGCCAGTGCAGTGCTGGATCGCTTCACCTTTTTTTAATGTGGTTCAGAACTCCAGCAGGGAGACCCAAAGTCCTATTTTTGTCTTCCAAGTATTAAAATCGTGCTCCCAAACTTTGCTCGAACCCTTAAGACCCTGTTTTAAATTCCAATGGAAAGTCATCACATATCTGATTATATAGCAACGTCGGGCTGAATCTTGGGAAAAAGCAGGAGACACTGTCACTGTAAATTCAAATAAGGTGTGTGTGTTTTATTCCATTTGGTTTCAGCGTACTGAATAATCCTAGAAAACCTTGCAACAAGCATTGCGAATGAGTTCAGAATTCCTTTGCATTGGATCAAAAGTAGGTGCTTATGCCGTGTACATAAATAGTGATCCCTCCTGGGTGAGTGGCAGTCTCAAACTCCCATGTCTCGTGTGTTTTGTCACGAGACACATGAGGTGGAATTCCCCTTAAAACCAGATCCAGGTTATCACCGGAGATTTTTTTTTGCCAACAGCAAATCTTTCTCTGCCAACTTTAAACATCTTTTCCGGTGCATAGCAATCTCATTCGTCATGAATCCACCGAGGATGTGTTTTCCCTCCGGGTTGTTGACTCATCTCACTGTTCGGCTGCCAAAGAATGTGCAAACGCATCTTCTGGAATAGCGGCATGTGTCTTTGATCCTTGTGTAAATGTGAGTGATGCACAATTCTGCCACTTTGGAGTGTTTTTTTGAGCGGCAAGTGGAGAGGGGGCGCTCTCGTCGCCGCTGCGGTTTGGTCGGCCCTCTGACTCTGTGCCTCATTAAACTGAGATCATGCTCAAAGCCGAGGAGGGGGGAGAGAAGGGAGGACCGCTATGAGATGTGAAGCGGGGGGCAAACTGAGGCCCAAATGAATCACATAAAGAGTAATAGGAGAGGAGGATGTGTGGGAGGGGGGGATTGTTCCTCGATGACTGGGCTCTGGTGAGAGTCACTGAGGAACGGAACCCTCTGGAAGTGAGTCAGTGGGCTCCTGTCTCTGGACTGCGTGCCATGCTTGTGTCCACTCCAAGACTGAAGACAGTCACCCTGCTGTAAATAAACAGTTCTTCACCAAACCTTGACTTTAGCAGAACTGTTACGCAGTCTTTGTGAAAGCCCTCCACAGGTTTACTCCAGGTTTACATATCTGAGCTGGTTTGTGATTGGCAATCCTGTTTTTTGCTAGTTGGACAGTTTGTTGCTCGTGTCTTGTCCTGTATCATGTTGGGCAGCTGCCATGGTACAGTGTCAAGCTGTTTCAGTAGGAAAGGAGAGCAGGATAATCTTTCCCTCGCGATTTCACCAGATCACACATTGCAGGAAAATCCATCTCGCCAGGCTTCGTGCCCGAACCCACAGCGTTGCAGAACGATCGGCACCCTGTGTGGAGCTACTGGCCGTTACGGGCGTGGCTTAGGTGTGCACGAGTGGACAAGGCGGCCCCTGAAGAGGTTAGCGTAGATGCTGCAATAGCTTCAGTTGTATTAGAACAGGACCGTCGCACGCAGGTTTTAGAAATACCATGGTCCAAAAGAGGTATGCCCCTCAGAAAAGAAAATGTATTTCCCTCATTTAACTCTGTGCATTTTACAATATTTCAAGAGCAAAAATTTAGATAACCAAATCTTTAAAACTATGTCAGAGGGCGGTACCACGAAGGATCTGGCAAGCATGAGAATCAGGTGAAATGTTACAATGAATGATTCACACTACAATCTGAAAAAAAACAGAAGAGGCTAAAATGATAACAAAACATCTGAAAATGAATGTTGACGATGTGTAGTTGTAATATCTTCTCTCTCATCCTCTGCATTCACTGACTCCTGACTCCTCACTTGTCTCTCCTAACGTGTATTAAATATGATTTACTCAAATACATATATGCATTCTTTATAAAGAAAAAAGGCATGATTTTGGCCCCAAACTGCATGTGATTAACATAAAGTAAATGGACTGTACTTGTATTACTCTTTTCTAGTCTTCGACCACTCAGAGCTCTTCAACACTACATGTCATCATTCACCCATTAACCCATTCATACACTGATGACAGGGCTACCATGCAAGGTGCCACCTGTCCATCAGGACTATGTAACTTTCATACAACACACACCACAGGAACAGCCTACAGGGGCAATTTGGGGTTAATTGTCTTGCCCAAGGACACATCGACATGGACTAGTGGAGCCGGGGATCGAACCACCGATCCTCTGACTGAAGGAGGACTGGCTCTACACTCTACACGCCATGATTGCCAATTCTTCATCCTCAGAGAAGAGTTTATTCTCTATTG